GCACACAGGTTTCTGAATCGCTTGAGACCCGTGACTCCTTGCAGAATTTCAATTCTAGTACCGTCTTTTGCCCATGCTTCCTCCAAATTGAGTTTTGACATATTTTTACACCCTAATAAGAATAAAATTCCTAAAAAGGCCAACATTTCTGCTCTACATGCTTCATACTTGCTTCTCTTTGAGATGTTTTGGAGATCATCTGCAGTCCTGTTACATTTGAGATAAATATTTTAATATTCTACGATAGCATCAATCATATTTGTATTTATGATTTTCTGGAAAGCAGAAGGCTCATCATTTATATCCTCACAAGTTTTGGCACTTGGGCATATTTTTTTCATCAAATTTTTTCGAGGCGTTCTAGCAAATTTGCTCTTGAGGGGAACTTTATTCCACTTATAAGTTTCCTTTTCTTCTTTCAGAAACTTTCCTCCAACTTTCTTCTTTTTGTAAATTGTTTTTACAAAAAAGTCCTCATATTTTAAATCACTCATGTCATTTTCAACATATATATATATATGTGTGTGTGTGTGTGTGTGTAATATATGTATGAAAGAGACACAGGACCATGTGCCATTTACATATTTACATGAAGAGAACATTGTTCAGAAAGTTATCATAAAGCAGATATAGTCAGCAATAAGAAAAGATATTGCTGTTTTGTCGAATCTGCACAATAATAGCTTGTTAATATTATATTTAAAGCTTTCATATATATTACCTACGCAATCTGTTTTGCTTCTATTAAAAGTATCTTATAAATTTAACTCTTATCATTAAGGGGTGGAAGAGAAACTTGCATATAGATTTTACTGTTTCATTTTCATAAAGGTATTCACTAGTTTAGTTAAACCATGTACAGTGTTACGTAACCTGTTAAGCTCTTTTATGTCATAGATAACAAAATCATGAAATTGTCCATTTTCTTTTGTAAAATTTCTGCTAGTAAAAACAGTAGCATTTATTCAGTTTCACTTTCTTTTGTTGGATGTGTAAGTTTGATTTATTTTTTAAAGTCCAAAGGGGCTTTGTCCCTGAAGGACTATCGTTTTCGTTTTTCGATTTTGCGTTGAATCACTATAAATGTCTGTTTCACTTTTCAAACTGTTGCCACTAAATGTTAGAATCTTGCATTATATTTGAAGAAATTAAATAATCAAAAATCTGCATAAATGTATGTATATTTCTCGCATTGTGATAAAACAACGATACATAGAGCCATCGAATTTTGAATGACGTAACCCTTCTACGAATATGGGCATGTGGGAGACCAAATTTGAAATTTGGAATTTGTTTTATTATCGATTTCATATTTTGTAAAACTTTAACGAATTTTTGAGCAACAAACTCAACGATTTAAAAGCCAGCGATGGGAACACTCTACGTGGGGGGAAAAATACCTTTTTATCTCCAGCGCCAAGAACTGTGTATCCTAAATTCTAAAGATATGCTCATTTTAAAATTATTTTGCGACATTGCTATTGAACTGAATTTTATGGTTCAAGTGCAAAGAAAGTGACATTTAATAAATAAGGGTAACACACAAAACGTTAAAAAAAACGCCTCTTTGGACGTAATTTAAAATCTGAAACCTTTCAGGTTTTGTTATTATTATTATTATTATTATTATTATTATTATTTTGTGTGTGTGTGTGTGTGTGTTTGTTAAAGGTATGTCCTTTCTCCTTTCACTTTACTCATCTAGTACTATACTAAATGGGATGAAGGTACAGTTAAGTTTAAGGGATCAGTTAAGGGAAAATTAGTCTTGAACAGCCATTACTCATCTTCATATTTGCTAATAAGATTAATTTACTCTAAGAGAGGGAAAACTCTTGTTTTGGTTTATACAAATCAATTTTCTTTAGAAAGGCCACCATAATTTGGTATAAAAGATACGTTTATGGTTAACTATTTATTTCTAACAAGGTTGTATAGCCTGCTGATGATTTTATGAAATTAATGGTCTTTACTTCTCTTGTCACTATTACATTCTCCACTATCACAATGTGTTCTTCACACTCTTCTAGATACTATCATGCTGAATTAAAAAAATCTTAAAATGTGTCAATTGTCTTCTGTGCCATTGATGTTTGGTAGCTCTGTTAAGAACAAATTATCATCTGTCTTATGGTTAATGGACTCAATTTATCTGTCAAGTGATAATAAATGTGATGCATATATATAATTTATAATTCAGCCCCGCTATCTTGTAAATTATTTTGCGGATTTTAGTTTGCTAATGAGTTTGTTTATCGGTATCATTATTAGCCACAACTGAAGTGCAATACAATTTTTATCTTGTCATGCTCACTGTCTAGTAATTTTTTTTTTTTAATTTCTAATGGCAAGGTACTTGATATGAACAAGATAACATAACGTAATAAAAAACATAAATAAGATACGTGAACAATTGACTACAAAAGTAATTGGAAAAGTCATTGACCTGTGCCCACTTTCACAAACTAATATTGTACAGTTTTAGATTTTCCGCCATTGGAGGGCACTGCATAAGATGGTTTCTGCCCCTAAACCATTGGTGCATAGTGAGCAGGTTAGGTTTGGCAGGATATCAAGGCAAAACAGGTGTGCCCCAAGCAGTTATGTTCAGTAGTTAGTCGCAACTAGTTAATGTACCCAGAAACTTAGTGTGAATGGTTTTCATCTTCACATGCATCTTTCATGCTACACCTTTTTGATAACTATAACATGACTTAATTGTTAAATACTTCATACTTACATTTTTTTTAACCATTCTTTAAACTTTAAAAAAGTGAGCAGTTTTAGTGCAAATGAAATGGAACGACTCTTAATTTATATGTTTATATGTTTTATGTTGTGTGTTATATGTTTATATGTTTCTTAGTTTATATGTTTTTTATGCACAGTATGAACCATCAAATAATAAATAATTTTGCTGTTATTGATTATAGAATAAACCGAAAATTATTTTAAGCCAAATTTAAGCTCAAATTTAAGCCAAAAGTTGTAGTTATTATACTCTTTAAACAAAAATCGTTAGTCTAGTATATTATGCCATGTTGCTTACTGTCTCACAGTGATCTGTACATATAAACTGCTATCATTTTTCACATGAAATGATTGTGCTATTTTTATTATTGTATATGTTAAAGGGTTGTGTACAGTTTGTTTGGATTTTTCATGCATAACATACTGGGCCCAGAAAAGTTCTGGAATAATTTTTTATGTCTGGAGAATTTTTAATGCTTCTGATTTATATTGTCTCTGGTCACATCTGCCCAAATATGGATAAAAAAATACAAAATCAAGCTCATCATATTCATTATTAAGGAATGGTGAAAAGATTTATAACAATGGTGCATATAGTGCATCATATGGAATTAAGGATTAAGCTGTAATAAGTTCACTTTCAAAAAACAAAAACAAAAAATTTATTTGATGATTAAATTATCTGAAATCAAAGTTCTTACATTGCTTGACAAGATTTACTAGAATCAGGATAATGCCTTCATGATTATCAAGGATCAGCTGGAATAAAGACTTTCTTTGTTTGTTACAAATAGTAGATCTGTTGTTTAGAAAAAAAACTCATTGACAGTGATAGTGATTATATCGAAAAGAAATAACAACTGAACAATAAATTTTAAAGGAAATAATAAAATATGAGGTATTGAAATTATTTGTTTGAAATAAAATAGGGTTTCAGACTTTTCTGTGTACAAGCGTTTATACACATATATTCACTGTATAAAGACTGCTAGTATTATTCAAGTATTTGAATAGAAATATCATTTCACTGATTTATTGTATAGGCTGCATAAAAATAAATTGCCATAATTTCAGTTGTACTTAAAAATATGTATATGTGTAATTAACTGAACACTTTTAATTACGAATACTTTTATTTATATAATAGATTTTTTATGCCAATGATTTCAGATTAGTTGACCATCTGAAATAGTTGGTATAAAAAAAAATTCTATTATATAAATAAAAGTAGATGCATGATTTTTATACTAACCATTTCAGAATCATACACCAACAATTTCAGATTTTCATATCACCATTTCAGCTGATTTTTATACGAACCATTTCAGATAGTCCACTGTCAGATTCTTTTTTGTAGAAAAAGTAAAGGAGCAAGTTTGTTTTTATTATTTATTTTGTGCCTTGTTTTTATCAATGTTATTTTTGAATGAATATTGTGCGAAATAAGCTCCAAAATTTCCTTTTTAATTTTGTCTTTTTATTTAGATAATATAAAGCAAATAATATTCTTCTAATTTAAAATGCATATAATTATAAAATTTAAAAAAGACTTCATTTTTACTTCTATTGAAGTTAATTCATTCATGTTCCATAGAGGAAATTTGAAAAATACATGATGAAAATTTGTAGTGCTGTAATTTAAATAAACTGGTGTGTAGGTGAGGAAACAAAATTGCATCCTGTGAGAAATAGGAAAGTAAAATTTCATAATATCCTATAAATAACAGTAAATTTAGAAATTCAAAATTCCTCTTCAAGAATACTATCAATGCCTATTCAGACAAATTTCCTCTTAGAATGCAAAACTTTACTTAAGATGTATTTCCACTCTTTCTTTCTCAATAATTTATTGAAATTTTTTATGTTTCCATTTAATTTTATTCAATTTATGGAGGAACACCCTTTTAAGAAAAAGTAATTAATAATCGCAATCTATTAACGGATGTATTTACCTTTAAATTCCTGCAAATATGCTATGTACATATTTATATAATAAAATGTTAGACATGACTAGTTTTCTAACTAATTTAATGTTATTTTGTATGGGGTAATATAAGTATGAAATTTGCTTAAATTTATATTTGATTTGTCAGTTTGTGTGTCAAGATACAATTTTGAATCTTCATATGAACATTTTAAGTTTTTTTTTTTTTTTTTTTTTTTTTTTTTTTTTTTTTTTTTTTTTTTTTTTTTTTTTTTTTTTAATGGTTATTTATTTATTTATTTATTTTTTTCCCAACTACAGCTTCCGTTGCCTTCCTGTGGGATGGGAAGAATTGGTAAATTGCAAAAACCCCTTTCTTTACATGACTGTATTGCATTGTTAAAAAAATATCTAAAGTTGGATCATATTCGGTTTGCTCAAGGAGTTTCACACACTCTAGGTAACGTTTAAATTATTTTATATTCTTTTTAAATGCATTATACCTTCATGCCTTCGTGGTGTGATGGTCTGCACGCTGGGCGCGTATTCCAGAGATCTGCGGTTCAATTCCCGACAAAGGCATTGCATATTTTCATCTTTCGTGTTTGGAAAAAAAAAAAAAAAAACTTATGTCTGTACAGTTGTAATGTCAGCATGAAATCATTAGTATTTAAAAATTCTTTACTATGTACTTGTAAAAGATTGCTTCTTTTATACCAGTTGCAAAATATCTGTGAATAAGGCTGAAATTCTTATCAGAATTTTAGCTTTGGAAGTGGAACAATTTTGAAATTGGAAAATTTAACTTTTTATGTTGTTAACTTTTAAGTTACAGCAGGCATCCCTAACCTTTTTACCCCTTATAGTATAGTACATTCTAGAATCTCAGTAAAGCCATGGGCACATTTTTAAATGCAAATTTATGGGTTGATATAGTTTAAAATATTGATAATATTTTAAAAATTCAAAAAATATAATTTTAAGATATAAAAATTTTTTATTGTATTCTTATGTAAGATAAATAATTACTAAGTAACGCATACAAATGCTTACAAATTCTATAGTTTACAATTTTTTATTGGTTAAAAAATTTTAATAAAAAGTGTAATTCTTAAAGTTATGATATTTGGTGTTGCATTTCATTGGCTATTGCTTCATAATAAGAAGAGTGTGATATTTCTGCTGGTAAGCAATCATCAAGACGCTCAGCTGTAAAACAAGATCTGTACTTTGATTTTATGATACTCATTGTTGAAAACAATGATTCGCATAAGTTTGTAAAACCAAAAAACAACAATTTTATCTTGTATGATGCTTTTTTCAAGAACGGAATTTTTTTCTGTCAGCTTTATTCCAAAAGTTTTCATCTGACACATTGTATTTTAGGACAATGTCATTTTGAAGATCCAAAATTTCTAGCTACTGTTCTTCCATTCTTGTTTGAATAAACTCTGCAATGTATACAGCTATTCAGTTACAAAGCAAGCAAAAGAATTGATGAAAAAAGTGCCCATTGCCTCGATAATATTAAAATACCGAAACTGTTTTTCAAACTAACTGATCTTGAAGTTGTTAAAAGTTGATCCAAATATGAACAAGTCAATTTCAGATTCACCTATCATTTTATTCATAGTTAGGAAATTAATAAATAATTTCATCTGCAGATGTGAGTTTAAGAAAACCAGAAATAAGGTTAGCTTAAAACCACTTAACTGACCCTGTCACTAAAGCTATATGTTTATATTTTTCATACAGCTCCAAGTTTAAATAATTCAGTATTTTAGTTAAGCCTATCAGAAAACCTAAATTCGTCAGCCATTGAAAGTTCAATAAAAATTTTATTTTGGGTATCGTGATAATTTTTTATTTCTTCAGTTAAAAATTTATAAATCTTACAAGGACTTTCCCTTTACTGAGCCAACATACTTCATTATACTGAATGAGATGAGGATCTCTGAGATTTTCTAGTAGGGCCTTGAAATGGTGGTGGTACAAAAGGGCTATTTGAATAAAACATACTATTTTTGTAACTACTTTCATGGCATGTTCAAAGTGCAGTATTCTACTGCACAAAGCTTCCTGATGGATGATGATACGGTTATGTGACATAAAATATAGAAATAGTTTATCTTCCTTGCTAAGGGTAATAAATCCATTAATATTACCAACTATTACAGTGCCTCATCTATTGTTGTCACTGACAGCTTATGTAGAGGCATATCTTTCGACTTTGCATATGCTGTAAACATGTTGTAGATATCCTCACCTCTTGTTTGTGCTTCCATGGGTCATATTTTTGATTGGTCTTCTTTTACAGTAAAGTTGCTAAATATTATCCTCACCATAACTGCTAACTGTGTAGTATCTGATATATTTGTAGACTTGTATAATTGTAATGAAAACTAGTCGCATATTTTTAAGTAATGCCTTAACTGAGTGTGCATATCATTGATATGTCATGTATTCTTCTTGTGATGTTGCTGTCTTATAGTTAGAAGTCATGTATTGCTGAATAATCATACATTTAGTTATTCAGTTAAGCAGTCAGCACCAGTAAAAAATCTTCTTTTAAAAATCCATCATCTTGCAAAGGTTTTTTTTTCTTTTTTGTGAGCCTGTGAGAAATTTTAAAGAAACAATAATGGCACTTTTACATGTTACCACAGGCTTAATGAAAACTTACTATCAGGCAAACATGTTTGATTTTCTCTGTTTTATGTTCTTACTTCAGATTTAAGTGAATAAATTTTATTAAGAGGTATGCATTGTCTGAATGTGGTATTCAATATTATGTATTTTCGGCATTGCGGCGCTACTGCCACATAACAAATAAACACCTTGAGAAATAAAGAAGCCTAAATAGATTGTAATATCAATGAACATTTTTAATGACAGAGATTATCTTAAACATAGTTGCATACAGCAGAGAAAAAGGCGAAGAAGTAAGAATGGTATACATATACATACATACGTAATAAACAGTTACGTCATCATTCATCACCGCGCGGATAAACGCGAACGGCGCATGCGTCAGGAGAAGCTCTCTTAAGCTAAACGTCGTATTATAATTTATGATACAACAATCCCCCTTTCGACGTTTGGCGGCTGAAAAAAAAAATAAACTTTAATCATTTACAGTTATTCCAATAAATTTACAGCGCTTAGAATGTTTCGAAGCAGTCAATGTTTTTGTCAGTACATCTGCAGGCATTTTCTCTGTTGGCACATATTTAATGTCTATTTCATTTCTTTCATAAATTTCATGAATGAAATGATGTCTAATATCTATGTGTTTAGTGCGTGAGTGATAAACAACATTTTTCATAAGCTTCTGTGCACCTTGATTATCACAATATATAATGGTTGGATAATCAGCAGTAAAATTTAATTCTTTAAGAAAACGTAAAAACGTAATAAACTGCTTCTTTGGCACTTTCTGAAAGACTGATGTACTCTGCTTCAGTACTTGATAATGCAACAGTTTGTTGCTTTCGTGATTCCCATATTATCGGATTTCCAGCTAGCTTGAATAGGTAACCTGTATACGATTTTCTAGTATTAACATCTGATGCCCAGTCGGCATCGGTATATCCAATAAGTGCTTTTCCAGTCTTTCGAAATTTTAAACAATAATTTTTAGTTCCTTTTAAGTATCGAAGAACGCGCTTTGCAGCCAAGCAGTGTAATTTTCCAGGATTGTTATTAAATTGGCTCAGGTGACTGACGGCATATGCAATATCCGGCCTAGTAAACACAGAAAGATACATAAGCGAACCAATTAGACGGCGATAAGGTGCGTTGTTCATTTCTTCCTTTTTTCGGTTTCAGAAGGACACATTTCTTTACTTAATTTTACACTAGGATCTAAAGGAGTTGCTACTGGTTTGCATCTTGCAATATTAAACCTTCGTAGAATATTATCAACATGTTTCTGCTGAGATAACTAACTAGAATTATTATTTACATCTTGATTAAATTCTATTCCAAGACAATAATGAAGTTTGCCTAAATCTTTAACCATGAAATTCTTTTAGAAAGATAATCTTTTTTAAGTTCAGCATATAAATCACAGCTATTTGTTGCTATTATTAAGTCATCCAACATATAAAATTAGAATTAACTCACCTTGAGATGTTTTCATCTGTATACACACTTATCTGATTGTAATGGTTGTAATCCAAAGTTTTTTGAGTTTTTTGTCTAATTTTTCATACCACTGTCGTCCACTTTGTTTCAAACCATAAAGAGACTTTTGCAAAGCATAAACATAATCAGGATTATTTTGGTCTTCAAAACCTTTAGCTTGTTCCATGAAAATTTCTTCTTTTAAATCTCCGTTAACATAAGCAAGCCATAACAAAATCTAGTTGATATAACATAAGGTCTTGTTCAGCACTGTATGCAATCACAGTTCTTATAGAGCTTGCTCTGGCTACTGGAGCAAAGGTTTCATTAAAATCAATTCCAGGTTCCTGTGCAAATCCTCTAGCAACCAATCGAGCTTTTTCTCTTTTGAACTGTATGTTCCATCTGCATTATATTTCGTTCTAAGAACCCAGCGACATCCTATTACCTTTTTGTTCGTGTGGTCGCTTTAACTAATTTTCCATGCACCAATTTTTAACAAGTGCTTCATACTCACTTTGCATAGCCTTATGCCATTCTTCAGGCATAACTTCCATTTAATGCTTCTTCTTCTAATGTCGGATTTGTATCTTCTTCAGCAATTTGTGCTTCTTCCTCTTTCCTGTTTATATTTTACTCCTTTTTCAGTTATATTGTGGTATATTTCTCCTTTTTGGTCTTCCTGGCTTCCCAGTCTTGACTTTTCTTTGGACGACCTGGCCCCCTTTTAATCTGCATTTTCAGGTATTGCTTTCGGAATTCAGAATCTTCATTATCAGATGGTTCAGCAGATGCTGCTTCTGCCATATTTGAGGGGTCTTCAGTTATTTCATCAGCCGATATTTGCTTTACATTCAAGGTTCTTCCTTCTTTTTATCAGGAATATTTTCGAGAAATAAAACTTCTAAATCTTTATCATAATTAGTCGAGTTTTCAAATTCATCAATGAATCTAACATCTCAGCTTATAACGTGATTTTTCTGGAAATTTTTATTCCACAGCCTGTATGCTTTCGATTCATTTGAGTATCCTAACAAAATATATGTTCTTCTGATCGAGGATCAAATTTTCCCTTTAGACCTTTTATTAAGTACAAAACATTTCTGTCCGAATATTTTGAAGTGAGATACTGTTTGGCTTGATGCCAAAAAATAATTCATAATGGTGTTTTGTTTACTCTTCCAGGCTTCGATTCAGGCAACGATTTTACGAATATAAACAGCACATTTCAAGGCTTCAGCCCAAAAGGATAGGGGAAAGATTACTTTGTAGTAACAAACATCTGGCCATTTCAGTTAAAGATGCGGTTCATGCGCGTTCAGCTCTCGAATTCTGTTGAAGGAGTCATTGGTGCAGAGAATTCTCGTTTAATCCCGCATTCTTGAATATATTTATTAAATTCTTCTCCGCGATATTCGAGACCGTTATCAGTCCGAAGGATTTTTATTTTCTTTCCTAGACGATTTTCGACCGCAGCTTTGTATTTAATGAATGCATTTTTCACTTTCATCTTTAGTTTTAAGAAAACTGACTTCGACATAACGCGATTTGTCGTCTATGAAAGTAACAAAATAACGCGAACCAGCATGGGATGGGACTCTCATAGGTCCATTCAAATCTGACTGAATCAAATTCAGTAATTCATCACTTTGAAATGTTGATTCTTCTTGAAAACGTTTCACAAGTTGTTTACCTTGGATACAGACTTTGCTGTCTTTTAGAGATTTAGTCTTATTAAAATTTAAATTTCTAACCATATTATCAGATTTAAGTCTTTTCAAGTCAGACTCATTTAAATCACCTAATTTAAGATGGCACTTTACATAATCACTTACCTGCGCTATTGCAGATGTTTCAGTGCTTGGATATATATATTAAAGATCACCATGACGAATAGCCTGCACTAATATAGATCCATTCGGTTTTGTTATTCTAGGCATGTCGTTCTGTAAAAATCATTGAAGGATTATTTGCGGTAGCTTTAGATGTTGACAGCAAATTACATTTCATTTTAATTCTGGAACACATAGCACATTTTTAGTGCAATTTTGGTTGTCTTATTTCCGTTAGGTATTGCTATAAGGACAGTTCCAATTCCTGTAATTTTTGTGATGTTTTGTTCAACTGCTACTTTATGGTTGAATTCGTTCGATGGATGAAATTCTGAAAATAAACCTTCTGTCATTGCACATGTGAGATGTACAGCCACTATCTAAGCACCATGAGGAGGTCTTCTGATAAGCATTGTTTACTGCACTAAACTAAATCTGCTCTTCATAATTAAGAAGCCATCATAGAACCTTGAATTTCCCTTATTTGATTGCGCATATTTTCTATTCAGCTATTTTCTTTCTGCATTCAGATGCCTTGTGCCCAATTTTCGAACAGTACATTACACTTCAATTTCGAAAATTTCTTTCAGCTGGAAAATTTTTGTTTGAATTTACCTTCCATTTTTCATTTTTCTTCTGTTTTCTTGATTTCTTCTTTTATAATCAGTATAGTATGCATTCTGTGAATCTTGAGAACGTTTTCCCTTTTCTTTCTTGCTTCCCATTCTTCTAACATTTTTGATTTTCAAAGATTCGGGACTAGGTAACTGATCTCTTGATTCGATGGCGCATCTAAAATTTTCAAAAGTTTTCTGGAATACTGTAGAGCAGAAGAATCGGATAATAAATCATCAGCTATGTCAATTTCCATTTGTTTAAGCTTATCAACTTATTTCGAAGAAATTATTCAAATGTTCAGACATTCGTTTCTCGGTTTCCGCCATTTTTCTAAATAAAAGCTGTTTTAATAATGTAGCCTTCTTCGCAGGTCCTTTCGATTCATATACGGCTTTGAAGTTTATTCCACACAGCATTTGATGTCACACAATGCTTTATATGACACAAGTTCACTAGGATTAATTGCAAGAATTATATCTGCGCGAGCTTTTTGATCAGCTTGGAGCCATTTCTTTTCGTCTTCGGTTTCCTTCAGCAGGTTTTAGCGCTTTACCGGTTACATAATCCCAATGGTCGTTTTTAATCAATACTGCTTCTATTTGTAATTTCCAACTGTCAAAATTATCTTTTTCCGAGCTTTTCTATAGTAGTCAAATGCGACATAATGTAATACAGTCTCTCACAAGCCAAAAAACAAGATTGAACGCTATAAAAATAGGCTTAACTGAACGCTGATCAGTTCTTACCGTTGATTAGACGTAACAGTTCTTGCACTGAATTAGGCTTAAGAGTTCAATGCTCGAAAACTTCAAAATGTTCATTTTAAAATAAATATTTTGCTAATTAGGCACAGTTGAAACATTCCTGGGCCCATAACCATTGAAGAAATAAAGAAGCCTAAATAGATTGTAATATCAATGAACATTTTTAATGACAGAGATTATCTTAAACATAGTTGCATACAGCAGAGAAAAAGGCGAAGAAGTAAGAATGGTATACATATACATACATACGTAATAAACAGTTACGTCATCATTCATCACCGCGCGGATAAACGCGAACGGCGCATGCGTCAGGAGAAGCTCTCTTAAGCTAAACGTCGTATTATAATTTATGATACAACACACCTTTATCTTTAAAATTGATGAAACAGTCAGTATTAATATTGTAATTTCTTTGTCTTTAACTTGAATCACTTGTTTTGGAATTAAAATAACAAAATAAACAACACCAAAAATAAAGTAGGATACACATGCACTAAAAATATGAGCATTTAACTCATAGCAATTAAATGGAGATTCCCTTCGTAGATAACATTACAATGCAGAACAAAGAATTACACTGTGCATATGGCTGCATCTGCGAACAGTAGCATACAAGAAAATAGTGTAGATAGGCATTAAAAAGTGTTTTTAATATGCCTATATTTGACATTTTTTTAATCTTTAACAAGCAAATTAATAAATTTAATAATAGTAACATATAAAAAACAATAAAATGAGAAGGTTTTTTATTTGTATAATTAATTACTTTAAGTATAATGAATTTTGTATAACATTCTTTTGAAGACAAATAATTTTTTTATAGTCGTTGCACAGCACAAGCACACCTAAAACATCAGTGGGTGCTGAGGCACAGGGTTAGTAATGAAGTGTTATTTTTGATGAATTGAACATTTTGATGAATGCCAGACGTAAATTTATTGAGTACAGCAGGGGTGTTTTATGTCACTGCCATTTTCACCAGATCTTGACCCCTCAAATTTTTATCTCTTCAAGTCACTTCAGAATTCTCTGAATGACCTGGAGTTCACTTCTTTGGAGACTGTTATGCAGCACCTTAGTAATTTCTTTACGAATAAACCTAATGACTTCTTTACAAAGAGATTTTCCAGCTACTGTAAAGATGACAAAAAGTCATAGAAAATTGTGCTTATGTGGTTCAATGAAATTTTCTAATGTTTTCATCTTGCTTCATTTGTATTTATCATCAAAAGACCTCAGAATTTTCCAGGTGAACCGATATATTGCAACTGAAGCATGTTAAATGCAATTTGTTTTTAGCTATTTTAATAATCCAAAAATTTGAAGAAGAAATATAAAGTATGAAAAGTTCATTGTTGTAACATTAATGCATGCTTGTTAAGCACAGAGTAACAGAGAATAGGATAATCTAAATTAATAAACAATTAATTAAATAATTTGATGATCTACTACAAACATTTTTACATAAGTTCCAGACTAAAGAAAATTCTTTCCTATGACAAAAGGCCCTGTAACGTTCTTCTTATCAAACACTGCTTTTTTTTTAAATTAAATAAAATAAATGAAAAGATAAAATTCTGTTCTTGTGTTACAACAAATACCTATTGATCTGCATATAAAGTAAAAAACCAGTTTTCCAGATTTTCTAACTATCCAGCTATTCAATCTTTGTTAAATATAATACTGCAGAGCATCTCTGTTGCCTCGGTATGCCAAGACCCACTGAGGATATCTCACTTTATAGTTTGAGAAGCTGTTGTGAAATACTGATTCATATTCCAAGATTGATTTTGTGTCTCATCATGTTAACTGTGGTAAGACAGTATTGGGTATAATTGTCTACTAGATTGCTCTGTATGATATCTCATATTTATTTGGTTTATGTTCTGTAACTTAAAAATCCTTTACTTTTTTAAAATTCTGAACTAAAAATTTTTGGATCACAGTAAATACACATAATTGAATCAGGAGGTAAGGGTGCTTCACTTGATTGCTTAAAACCATTTGTAATGTGTTTGGAATTGATTTGTTATTTTCTAGTTATGAATCAAATTCTGTAAGTTGAAGAATATTATTTAAAATGTAAGGTAAATTTAGTATTCGTTTAATTCCAGATTCTCAAGTATCTTCTGTAGCTGTTTGTGCTGGGTCAGGTTCAAGTATACTGAAAGATGTTGATGCTGATCTTTATATAACAGGAGAAATGTCGCATCATGAATTACTTCATGCAAATCATAGGAATGTGAGTGTGATACTTTGTGAACATAGCAATACAGAAAGAGGATATTTAAAAAAGCTCATCAGTGACTTGTCATCTAAATTACCGAATGTTAATTTAGTAATGTCTTCTATGGATAAAGATCCTGTTACAATACTGTAAACTTAGAATTATTTTTTGGAAATGCCATTTCATTAAAAAAAAATTTTAATGACATTTTTGTGAAGATGAGCTAAATTCCTGTGTGGATCTTCTCATCATTTACTTGCAGGGCCATATTCAGCATCCTTCCAGGGATCCCAAAAAGCTCCCTTGAAAAGGAAAATCAAGATTACATGTAATCTCATAAGAGGATTTTAAGTGCTAGGTAGTAATTGCATTGTTCTTTATTGTAATGGAATGTTAATTAAAAAGAAAATTTAATAAAAAATGTATCTGAATTATTCAACTGAGTCATAAAATATTAGTCAACTTCCATAAAATTAACATGAAAAAATATTTTGGTTGTTGTACATGGAAAGAAATAATAATAATAATGATAGGGTTACTGAGGGAGAAAAAGGATAAAAAAGAAATTACTTGTTTATATGAAACAAAGAAACAAATAAATAAAAATATCCTTAAGACCCATGTTCTTTTATGAAATTTGTGTGCAAAAAAGCTGTATGTTAAAAATAATTAATTAAATAATAAGAGTTTTTCTTCTGTAGAAAACAATTAAATAGTATGGGTAAAAATCAGTAAAAATCAGAAATGTGGAAAACCTGGAGCCAGAATTTGTGCAGAACTCATTAAAATGATGATCATTAGTTTTAAACCTAAAAAAGGAAGAACATTTACTTTATAAGACTTCATTTTATAACTTTAAAATATTCTGGTTTGAGATTTCCTCTTCCAAATTACATATACAGTCAAAAGTTGTTAATCCGGACTCGTCGGGAGTTTAAGTTGCTTCATTTTATGTGATAATACTTTCTCTTTAATTCTATAAACAGACATAATTTCTTGTTCAGTTACAAAGTCCCGCTGTTCAAGCCCCGTTAATTGCTGTGCCGAGAATACCGACTAACTTGTCAATCGAAATTTTTTCGTTTTCACTAACCTCTCTGTCACATTCTTCATGTCTTTATCCATTTTTTGCAGCAATTCCACTTTTTGTTTGTTGGACATCGAAACATACTTTCGTTTGTAGATCCTTTGGAAGTTCCAGCATCGGAAATTCTATTTGACATAATCGAAAGTTCAAGTTTACTTTTATAAAATTGCTCTTACAGTCTGCAAAAAATAATAAGCGGGATCTAATTCGAAGATTAAGAAACAATGCAATCATTAACATTAACTGAAATAGATAATTAGATAATTTTAGCTTACACCGTCCGTTATACATTAAACACGCAGGCGAAAACGTACTCTGCACTTGCGCACACGCATATGCGCAGTAGTCAAGGTCTTACGCGCACGCGTAAAACGCCTGTGCCAATTCGGCACATGCGCAGAAAGTTTTTAGCTTTGAGCTCCGGATTATAGATCATCCCGGATTATGGGTGTCCGAATTAACGACTTTTGACTGTAGTCAATCACTTCCCTACTCAGCTGCAAAACCGAAAATGTTGCGGTTGGTGGTTCGGTAAAACCATCGAAACTAGTCCTGTGAAAATTTTGAAAATATAACGCTGATTTTTGTTGTTTGACTTCTGAATTAGTATGTTAATATTTGCTATAGGCATAAACTCTCATTAACAGTAGTAAAATTATTGCTCCATAAATTCTTCCACAGCTTTAGCAGCTGAAAATGTTTCTCTTATTCAGTAATATATAGTGAACATCATTTTAAAAAAAGGGATTTGGCTGTATATGAGGCACACCAGTGGCTGAGTGGTAAAATTGCTAACACTGGCAATCGACCTAGGTTGAAATCCAGGTGAACAGGCTGGCTGCATGGGCAATTTTGTGATTTTCCCCGTGTGTAACATGAATATGAGCCTGTTTCTCTTAGAAAGCCTTCCACAAAGGCATCCTTCTTCTTAAGTTCCATAATTAAAAATGTTGTGTAGGAAATTAACATAATTAATCTAATTACAGCTATCAAAATTTAATGTATTAATTATTCTAAATTTTATGCTACGCAACATGTATTTGTTCAATTAATTATTGGTATTGTTTGGTCAATTATTTATCTGAACTTGCACACAAATATTTAGCTAGCATCATTCATTCTTGCTTGTATTCGCGATTACTCACATAATAAACTATGACTTTCATAACTTAAGTTAAACCCTTAAAATTTAACATCAATAGATGCAGATAGCACTTTAATTTGAGACTACTTTCATAATTCTACCTTCAGCAGAATTTTTTAAGTTATAGCCATTTAATTAACGTAAAACCTGCAGAACCCATTGTTTGAATTAAAAGGGGTAGGGTAGGTGTTTAGGCGTGGTCTTCGCTTGGCGCGTGTTTTACAAGAAGGGAGTTCTGTCTGTAGTTCAACGCTTTGGAAAAAATAGAAATTTTTGCATCGACTAAGGCGGGAGTTTTCGGCAACTTTTTTTTTTTTTTTTTTTTCCCCTCTTTTTCGGGCGGGGGTTTAGCCAAGGTGGCTGTCCCGTCATATCTAAAAGGGTTTGTTTTCGCGGGAATTCCTTCTTCTTAACCCTCGCTCATGTAAGTGACTTGCACTTTTGGAAGAGCTTTTTTTTGCTTGGCCTCTGTTCCCTGAGGTTCACAATATGAATGACGAAGACGCAGATTCTCGGGGCCTCGGCCCTAGATCTTGCTACGTTGCCAAACTGCAGTAATTTCTTCAAAATGATATTCTAACAGAAAATTCAACGTTTTCCTTCATAGTTTTCCATCATCTGTTTGATTTGTTAAAATGTATCATCGGATTCAGTTTCCGTATCCAGCGAAACCTATCGTCAAAAATTCAGTCACCTCATCAACTTTGCCAGCTGCTCAATGATTTATGAAAAAAAATTAGTTTTTCTCCTGCTGGGTGCATGACCTGCCTTCCCGAAAGATCCTGTGTTCCATAGAACTTTTGTCTCCATTCGTCGTCTCTCAGCGTGAGTTATTCTGGGTGATGTCTTGGTGTTAGCATCTCATTCTCAATCTTTGAGTGCCGGAGTTATCGGACATTTCTACATCCACTTATATCTGGGTCCGTCTCTGATGCCAAGTTCCTGTTCGTCGCTTGCCTGAGCCGGGCCGATGCTATTCGCACCACTGGTGCGATTAGCCGCTTAAGCTATTCGCACCAACATTAACCACGCATGCGCATTGAGTTGTCAGATCCGTCAATTGAACTCCATCAAAAGGAACGGATTCTACGTACGCGAACTGTTGTAGTGAATCTTTTTTTTTTTTTTTTTTTTTTTTTTTTTTTTTTTTTTTTAAGGTGGGTTTCTACCTTGGCGTAGTTTATCAATTTTTAAGCATTGGCAACTTTCAAAAGTTTAGAAAGAAAAATGGGTTCCTTTTCTTATAAAAAGAAGGAACACATTTTCTTTTATTAATGTATGTATAAAAAAGAATAGATTTTTATGTTCGCAATGTTTATCCTTTTCTTGAACGGTTTGAATAGTTTAAATGTCTGATTTGGGGGGGGGGGCGACAAAATCTCGTTTACATTTTTTGTACTTCTTAGAATACATTTAGCTTTAAAGATGTGTTTTGAAAAATCAAGACTTTAATTCATTTCTCTGAAAAATTTCGTCCGATAAAAGATGCTAAAAATTAGACAGAGGATTTCTGTGTAGAAAATTTAGACATGAAATAAGTTAAAAGCGATAATATCAACTATTAAATGAATTATTCTGTATACCTGCTTATTTTTTTTACGGAAATACTTGGCATTTTCAGGACACAAAAAGTGCTTCAAAGAACTTTGAAATATTAGTACAAACATATTAATCAATTAAATTGAAATAAATAATGGGATGTAATTTAAAAGACAGAAATAATTTAATGTAAGAGATTTAGATTTAAAAATTTGCACATACGAATCATATTTTGTAAGGTTTTATTTCATAAATAACTTTGATTTTGAAATATGGCATTTGAACCTATAAACCTGTGTGGATACTGAAAAAGTGATGAATATATGAAAATATTATCATTTTCAGTAAGTTTTCTTATTGAATAATAAATTCTGACAGTCCTATGCTATAAAAATAGGGTCTAAGTTTGCATAAAAATTCCTCTGTTAAATAAAAGAATTTAGGTAATTTCTGTAGCCTTTTTGTCAATACACTAAAGATTTTTTAACTAATTACTCATCCTCCCTTGCAATTAGAACCATCATTAAATCCCTATTTTATCTAATAATTTCCTGAACATTATCATGTATCTAGGTTGACCTCGTCTTTGTAACTGATAATTATTGCTTGCAAATTATTCTCTTGCTGGTGAACTATTAACAACATTCGCTCTCACTACCACCTGCCTTACGGAAATCGGCGTAAAATGCTGGTACCTGGGCTGATTTTACGCATGCGCGAACGTAGGTGGTGTGAATAGCCTGTTAGCTATTCGCACCGTCGGTGCGATTAGCCACTGCGGCCTGAGCCATTGGTTCTACGTGAAGGAGATCTTGGTAACCAGTTGATATTAATCCCGTGTGACTGCAACGTCATTCCTTATTCATAGAGATAAGTCATAATACACTTCTCTCTTAGTTTTGTTCAACCCTGTTAAGTTAAATAATCCGATTTGTTAAATAATTTGTGAGGAAATAATAGTTATCCATGCTAAGCTTACCAGAAATACCTTGTTAGAAATAAAAGGAAAAATTTTTGTAATACATAATTAAGTTAATGAAATTTGGTTAAAGGTTAATTAAATTTGTTAAGGTTAATTGATTTTTAGTGTATCAGATGGCTTGAGAAAGCCATTCCTTAACTCCGTTGGCAAGAATTTGTTACTCAAATTTTAATTTTGGTTTGTTCCTAGAAATTTGTTGAAGTTGTTCTGTCTTTGGGTTAATTAATTTTATATATGCAATATTTTTAAAATTACATTTGTTATGCCATAGCGTTATCAAGTAACCTTTGTTAAAACAAAATCTATGTAATTTACGAATAGAGTATAATATATATGAAAACGTAAACTGAATAGGAGTGCAATATCAAATTTTATATTATATCATAGGTTGGGTTTTATTTTTATTTTACCCGTGTAAAGTAAAGTAAAATATAGTTTTTTATTAATATTTTTTTATCCGTTTGAAAATTTTGAAGTTAACTAATGTCTTACTAAATAAAAATGACATTTTTTTCTGGAAGATCTTATGGTATGATTTTATTTTATCTTTCTTCATACAGTCACCAGTCTACAGATTAGGGTATTTACGGCTACTACACAATGCAATTTTTTGTTATGTTAGGAAAATTTAATTATTGTGTTTTTGTGTCTTTCCTTCGTAAAAAAGCACGAAACAAAAATA